TACAATTAGTTTTCGTGGGGCGATGTGGTGTGGGCAACTTCACCCCCTCAAATTACTGTGGGAAAACAGTAGCTACAAACTTGAATGAGAATTTGCAAGCATCTTGCATTAATCGCCTACCGATCGTTTGCAGCATCTTCATCTTCCTCCGGTTTCACAAAGAATTCAATATAAGCAATTCGACTAGGTTGCTGATATCCGGCAGAGTCGATACGTGGGTGTGAAGTGGACGGCCTTGCCACTGAAACAAGGTGTTGAACTTTCAGCAATCCACCTCTCCCAATAGTCAACTTGCTTCCTCTATTATCTTTAATTACGCTGCCTGGAATGTTAGAAGTTGTAGCTCTAAGGAACTTGTATTTGTACCTAAGAACATCAGGGTCAGGACCAACACAATTAAGAAGCTAGAAGTGGTGCGGTGGATGTAATGTTCGAAAGCCATATTTAAAACATACTTGTAAGATACTTGACGATCACAATGAAATGCAACCAAAAGATCAGTATTCACATAATACATCAAGTCTATCTGCAATAAAGACAGATTTAGAACTCTGAAATTTGGAACATCACAGTCAGTGATTGCTTCTAAGTTAGAAGCAATATTTACCTGCAAATCCCCATGGCCTTCACCTCTGAAGGTAACAGTAGGAGGAACTGGTTGTAGATTGATCTGGATGCTTGATCCAGGCCACTCAAGATCGTCAATTGCTTCCTTCAACGCTGCAGACTGTTGTTTAGATTAGATGTCAAACGACAATAGGGTAAAAAGAACTTCAATATGAGTCAAGAACATATTCGATATATCAAGAACATTTATATTTGAGTGCAACCAACTTCATATTGTTCAGTGAATACATGAACCCATCCACCACATGCATCATTAATTGGCATCCTTTCCCTCTTCTTTTGTTTTTTGGTTAAAGGGCTAAAATTAGATAACGCCCCCTTGGGTTAGAGGACCTCCCTTTGGTTTTCCTTGTGGCACTCATTACCTCCTTCTCAACAACAGGGTAATATCATAAATTACCCTTGTTTATTACTCTGGATTGATGACCTTAAAGAGCACCGGGGGATACAGCATACGCTAACGGCACACCTCAACTGGAATGCATGCATATCCATTATCTTATATATTTATATATATGCCCAAAGAACTAATTTGATTCGTGATTCAAAGATGGCAGACAGACACACAGACACACAGACAAATGATGTCCAGATAAATACTTCAACTACATTAAACTATCACCCACCTTGACCATTCTAATCTCATTAACCTCAAACTTTATATTTTTGACAAATATGATGCACAACACATATAGTGGCAGGTAAAACTGATAATGAAAATAAGGTGAGCAATAGAAGTTAATTTGAAGATCTTTTGGAGAAGGTACCCACTCATTAAATGGAAAATAGGTTAAATTGAAGATAATATGGATTCTTGTCAGTAACTAACCAATTCTTTATACTTTTAAAACACAAATCTTGGTTTTTTGAAGCAGATATGGGTAGAAAATCGTTTGGCCAGATGGAAATAACAAATACTTTTAAAACAAGCAGATATGGTAGAAAGTCGTTTGGCCAGATGGAAATAGGAAATATGCAATGTGAAGAATGTTTAAGAAGATTTTCAGGGGACGCTTCAGTTGCAACCTTGTTGCAATTGAAGCAGCATGCTAAAGGGCATTGTGAACCAGGTCTGATTTCTATTTTATCCCCATTACATAGAAATTTCAGTAGCTCGTATGTAACCATTTAATTATTGAGAGAGAGAATGATGAAGGAGAGAGCAGTTTGTGCGCTCTTCATACTGAGTATATATGAATGATCATACCTTAACAGTGAAAGTGATTGGGGTGCTCCCTGCAGGTTCAAAATTGTAGTCCCAAGAAACTGTATCTGGGATTCTTGTCCTTATCTCTGCATAAATGCAAGCATCCAACGAATCAACAGACCTAACAGAACATGTAAGAAAACACTGTCATGAAAAGATTTGATTGATTTGTCATGGATTGAAAGCATAAATACAAGGATCATGAACAAGTAGCTAGTGTATTACTATTACAATTGTAGACTTAAGCATCTCCAAATGAACACAACTTATCTGCTATCATATAATCTACTTGGAATATTCAATTGTGAAGGAAAGAAGGGGAAGAGTTCATAAAAGAAGATTAAAAAAACCCAAATGTATTTCGAACTCGAAAAGCAGCAGAAAAGCAAATATAGGTGTGGAGCACCATAAAGAGTTTGTATGACAACACAATGTTTCATGTAATTCATCTGATAAAAGGTACACAACAATGAGGTACAAAATCAAAGATGATTTAAGTAATTTAGTGAAAAATGGAGCATATGAAGAAGAAGAAGATACTTGAGAAGAAGCTGCATGTCGGGCCCCGGATATCGAATTTCTAGAATGCTTGATTGTCCAGGAACTGAAAATGTGTTCAAACAATCCACAAAGAGCCCCAAACTGACTCCAAACCTGGGCCGACCTTGCCCGTTGTATTCATAACGAGTAAAAAGCTACAAACCAACAATCAACCAACCAACCAACAGAAATTTTCTCAGCGATGTCAAAAAATAAAAAAGGCATCTGAATCTGATCTGTTGTCATTTCTTGGGAGCCAAACAGAAACAGGGTGATTAAGCATTTTGTATATACTGTGAGTAAGAAGTGAAAAATCAAGTGAGTGCTTGCAGTAGTATTTTTAGTACCTCACGCTGGAGATAAACTTTGGCCTGAAGACAACCGGTTTCCTCGACAATTAAAACGACGCCGTGTTCTGATAATTCCATGACCGCGTCCTAAATTGCAAAATGGTAAGTCATGAAAAGCCCTAGATATCATAGCAGACTCGTCTTCCACAAAGCATTAAAAATTAACCAACATTCATCTGTGGTATGTGTGAAAATTTTGAAGTTGGGGAGGGACCCACCGACCCACCTGCTGGCGTTTCCATCGGACGGTGGTGAGGGCATCAACCATACCCTGGACGTTGTCAAGCTCGCACACCAGATCAGGGGCTTCTTCTGCCGACGACGACGGCGAGTTCATTTTCCTCTAAATTTCCCGCCACACAAACGCTCTCTCTTGCTCTCTCTCTAACGAGTGTTGAAATTTGAGTAATGGCCTGGCGTTCCTTCTGAAACTATCTTCTAATTATAAGGTCGTTGTCTTTGTTTCAGTAAGCTGGGCGGGAACCTTCCCACCTTACTCCACTGTGGTCATTCCTTTATGCGGAATTTTCTCCTTTAAGCCAGTTTGGGATTGCAGTCACTTTTAAAAAAACGTTGCTTCTGCTATAATACGAATCATTATTTGGCCCACGAACCCATGAGCCGATAGGGGCCCGCCCAGCCCATCAAGAAAAAGCTCGGTCTAACCCATTATTCAGTGAACTAAGCCTGGGCTAGGGTGTTTAAAGCTCAACCCAGCTTATAGGCCCAATCCACTTCAACCCACAAAGGCCCAGTCCAACCCACTCATCAAAGCCCGGCCCACAAGCCCGCTACATATATAAGTAAGGCCAGACTATAATGAGTGGAAAGTTATAAGTCGTAAGTTATAAGGGGTTCACTTTATAGCCATCAGATCAATCCAAAGGCTAGGGAGAATTGAGATAAAGTTTTGCAATCGGGTATGTGAGGAACCCAAACCCGAATTTAATATCCAGCATTGAAGTTGGTCCCAAAAAAAAAAAAAAAAGAGGCAAGTTCGAAGTTTGAACAGAAAAAATCAGTTCGAAGTTTGAACAGAAAAAACCCATCACTCTAAAACCCATAGCTCTGAGAAACTGCTAGGCTCTGAGAAAAGGTTGAAGGCAACGGTTAATGACGGTTGAAGGCAACGGTTGAACGCAACGCAACTCCATTCTCTAAACCCTGAAAAAGTATTTATTTTGAGTGGAAGGGACAAAGGCGTGGATTCCGAAACAGTGAAGTGGCGAAGCAGTGGAAGGGGACGTGTTTGTTGGAAGTGAAAGGTTCCATTTGTGGAGCAAAGCCGCACAAAGACCCCGCACAGACACCTTGCGATTGTTCAATAACCAGCATTTGGTGAGTAATTTATGGAATTTGAGTTTAGGGTTAGAGTAAAGGTTTTCCCCAATTTGTACCATCAATGTTGTTGGATTTGGCATCTCTTCCTTGTGCTTCACTTGCATGTTAATTTTTGCTT